ACTGACAGAAGAATAGTATTTGGTGGTGTTATAAATTAAGAAAGAACATCTGATTATGTGTAAGCTAAAATAAACTTCTCAGATGATATCCAACGTAAGCGCATAAGCCATGTTGGTATGTTTAGAATTGGTAACAAAATGAGTAGGGATTTTTCATTTTCAGTTTCTTATGTGTATACAATGTATGGTGATTATAATCCTCTCCTGCCATGACTTTCCCTTTGACTTCCTGTTGACTTCCTTCTTAACTAGTCCTTCTGATATAAAACTAAGAAATGCTAGAAAGAGTTGGGTGTGGTGATGCATGCCTTTAATCCCAGCACTTGGGAGGCAGATGGATCTCTGTGAGATCAAGGCCAGTCTGGTCTACATAGTGAGTTCTGGGCTAGCTGGGGCTACAGGGATCCCAGGTCTCAGAAAAAAAGGGATGTAGCAAAGGAATGGAAGCAAGGTTAAAAAACGCCATGGAAACGCAGTCAAATGGAAACGCAGTCAAATGGAAACACAGTCAAGCAGAGCTTTTCTGTCACAGGAGAAAGAGAACTGAAGAATATGCCAAAAATTGAAACGCAGGTGAAGGGAAGTAGTTCATTCAAATGCTTATATTGGTAAACAAGGCAGCATGTTTTATTAGCATGTTAATAACATGTTTGCTAATACCACGACTCAGCATTGAAACACTGTGAGAACTTGAGGTCATCCTGAAGACAGCTACTGATGTAAATGACCAGTTTAGAATAGGATGCAAAGACGCTAGCTGTGTAGAGAGATGAAGAGGCACAGCAGTGGTAGAGCCGGACAGTAAGGTGGGGGTGAAGGTCATTAAGGTACATCCAAGGAGTAGAAAGATCCATCAGATGAGGAGAAAATGGTGTTCTAAGAGGTGTTGCGATGACATTCACAATGTGAACTGAAATATACAAAATTTTTCATTTCCATAGAGCTTCACAATTTTGTCTATCATGCTGACAATACAAACACGTTCTTAACCTACAATTAAATCTAGAATCTTCTGGAAGAGACACCAGAACAAACACAACCGAAGGTGTTTGATGCTGCTCACAGATACATTCCTACCACGAACTCACAGGAGTGTTTGGATTGGAGGGGACAGAGACATTGAGAACTTCATCACTAGACATTTGTTCCATAGTTGCAATCTGCCTACAGATGCCTAGATTTGCTGAGTCCCTTTGACCTCTCTGGATCCCATATTCATCTTTAAAGGTCTGCCTGATTTCCCATCTTTACTCTAATAAACAAGGGGCATACCAAGGTAGATTTGATCTGAATCCTGGCGCCTCCTTCTCAGGTTGTCCTTGCCCTTGCTAACCAACTCATTCTGCTCATCACTGCACACAAGTTCACTTCTGCAGGCAAGTTCATTTCTGCAGTATTAAGTTCAAGTAAGTTCTGATTGCCTGCCACTTGTCTAGGGCTTTTCTCGGCTATACAGACAGCTGACTGCATTTCTGGCATCTTCTGTTGACATTAAAGAGAGTTACATAATCAGAAACGAACACATCTGTTGGTGTAGAATTCTGCTACTAAAGTATCAATAATGGACATTTGAGGCTGGCCTTACTAGGGAAAGGTTTCTACTTGCACAAACAAGTTGTGTGAGAATCTTAACTGACAAAAAGGCAAAAAAGGTGCTTGTGACTTGACAGATTAGAGATCGTTGAGCCATGCCCCAAAGAGCTGGCAGAGTGCCACATCCAGAGGGTTCCATGGAGTCCTGAGGGAAAGGTGTGCTCACCCACTGGCAGCCCTCCTCCCAGTGCCCATGATTTACTCTCCCTTTCTAGTGGACCTGGTACCCTGCATGATGGTCACATAGCACAGAATTTTTGATTAATAGCTGGACATTTTCTTAAATTAGCATTCCACTCTTTGGGGTGGTTCAATGTCCAGTTCTATTTCCACATTCTACTAAAAGCAAGCATTAGTAGATGACAGAAACAGCCTGTGCACCATAAACTTGCCAATGGCAGAGAGCTGGAAGTCTCTAACTAGCACAACTGAAATGCCAAGAAAGGAAATCCAAAGCTTGGAAACAGGGAATGGGACAAGCGAAGCTGGAAAACAGGACATGTACTATAAGCAGTCCAAAACCTGGAACTGGATTCCTTGACAAACACAACTGTTTTCAAGAGCACCATGACA